TCCTGCTCTCAGGTTAACACATGCAGAGACAGCTGAGATGTGTCTGTGCCTGACATGAAAGAAAGCTGAGGCCAGTGACAGCAAACCAGTGATACCCCACACAACTAGATGCAGCTTCTGTTAAAAGCACCAAATGGCTCTGTCACGGAGCTGAAAGCAGTGGAAAAGATGACTGAGGGTGTCAAAGTGGAGCAATATAAACCATTAGGTCCATGACCACTGCCTTTGTCCATACTGCAAAGCACCTCATAATTGAAAACATTGGAGTAACAGGATAGAAGCACCTCTGAAAAAAGAAATTGGAATCATACTTTGACTGTTTTCCAAACAAAAAGTACTCCAAAAGAGCCTGAATTTGCCCCAGAGATGAGGTGAGGCAAACATCAGAGTTCACTACTTTGTGGGTAGTGAAACTGCATCACCTTGAGGCACTTATCTGTGTGTGTCCCTCTCTGGCACTTTTCTCAGTAAGTGCAACTCAATCAATCCACTTGAGATTCACAAGTGGCCAAAAAGCCAGCGTTCTAGAGACAAACAAGCACAACAAATAGCAGTGAGTCCAGAGAGCCACCAGCTGCCCCTCACCTTGACCCGTGTGTCCTTGTGCTTCAGCATCTCCTTGTTGCTCTTCATGATGCGGTTGGCTATGACCTTGTTTATGGGCACAAGCAGCAATGCCAAGGCCAGGCCTCCCAGAAAGGCTACCCCCACCTGCTGGTAGAGGAGGTACAGGGTAATGGCAAACTGGAAGGGCAAGCTCCACACCTCGTGGAAGCTGAGGCAGAAGTTGACCAACCTATCAGTGTCTGTGCTCATGAAGTTGACAATTTCCCCCACCGTGAAGCGAGCAAGGCTGGTGCTGCTGACACGCAGAGCCTTGCGGTAGATGGCAGAGATGACGGCGGCCCGCACCATCAGCATCACCTTGTACACCTCGTAGCTGAACTGGTTCCTCAAGAGAGCGCCCAGGAAGGAGCCAGCGAAGAGCCCGAGGGCATAGAGACCCCGTGGCTCAGGGGCTCCTGCCGGGACTCCATGAAGTTCACCAGCAAGTTCAGAAGCAGCGGGCCTGAGAAACCCAGCAGGCTGCCAGCCAGCTTGAGGAGTCCAAGCAAGTAGAAGCGGAGCCCGAAGACGGAATGAAGCGCTGGGAGGAGCCGCACGGCCTGCCGTGAGCTGCCCAGGGCAGCGCTGCCGCCATCCCCTCCAGCAACGAGGGGGCTGCTCAGGGACACCGTCTCCTCCTCCGCTTGGCGCGGAGCTGCCGTCCCCTGCCAGCGGGAGTAGAAGCGCTCACAGACGCGCGCAGCCCGGAGCCGGTGAGGAAGCACATAGACATCCTGGGGCTGGTTCAACATCCGGCGGTATCCGCGTTTCATCAGCGGGCTCATCCAGGCGTAGGAGAGGCGCGAGAGCCAACTCTCCCCGTCCTCCGCCACTGCCCGGCACGGCGGCGCGGGGATCGCCGCCTCCGAGACGAGCGGCTCTTGCTGCCAGGAGGCATTGACAGAGAGAAATTCCTGTCTGTTGGCAGCTGGGAAGAGGTAGCTAATCACATAGAGGAGGAGACAGGCCAGCTGCAGACAGAGGATGGAGAACCTGGAGGACACCGCAGGGTGGCCGGGGGACCAAGCTGTCCCCTCCTGGCAGTACCACAGCAGCGTGATGATGAGGGAAGGTACAGGTAGGACAGTGAGGAGAGCCAGGGCTGCGGGCCCCCGCGTAGAGCCGTGAATTGACCTGCAGAGCATGAGAAGAGCTGAGCCGTGAGTGAGCCATGTCACTGCAGCAATGCTGCTTGTCAGCACCTCCAGGTACACAGGGCCCAGCTCCTGCTGAGAGATGGTCACTGGCACGATATCAGCGAGGAGAAGGCCAGCAAGGATGAAAGAGGCAGCAATTCTGCACCTCCAGTCTCGCTTGGGAGGAACACCGGCACCGTATCTAGAGGAGGAAAGAGAAAAGAAATGCTTTAGAGTAGAAAACCCACCACCTCCCACTGACACCTCCTTTCTTTCTCCCCTCATCCCCCCATTATCCGTTTGCTCTCACTTAGCTTCCTTGGATTCAGTTCCCTGGGTTTGAAACATTTTTAGACGCTGTTAAACTAGATCAAGCCAATACATCCCACTATCAGATCAGTACCAAGGATGCAATATATCACACCAAAATATAGCCTTTTTGTAAAGAAATTTCTCTATAACCTGCGATATCTTTTGGTCAAAACAGACTTCAATGTTTAAGGATTAACAAAAATATATATTTATTATTTTAATTCTAGATGATTAAGTTTCCTGTGCAACATCCTTCATCCTTGCTTTCCTGTCTTTGTGGCATTTACTCTACAGAGATTATTTTTTCTGTGACTCTGTGTTTTTATTCTCACTAAACCTCTCTGTTCTTTCTGGACTCTTCTGCAATAGAGTGACCAGAGCTGTCGCTCTGCATAAGAAGAGATACTGACAAATGTTATTACATTACAGCATTATAATACTGTATCCTTCTCTAGTGAGATATCTAGGGCACTGAAGGGGATCTAATTTTCAGCCATCCCATCCCCGCCTCCAGCCTCGTCTCGTAATCAAGAGCTGGCCAAGTTGGCTGTACCTTGGAGTGCCGAGGAAGCAAGCACTGACCACCGCAAGGATGACATGAGGAGCCACGTTTAATGCCAGCTGGTTAAAGCAGTGCCCAACGCTGCCACGAATCCACACGGGGACCGGATCTTCCGGGCTGGTTCCACACAAACCGGCTAGGATATTCTCCATTCTTTGCCGAATGCTGAATGCAAGCACATTCCTAGGGGCTCCTGGGTGGAAAAAAAAAAAAAAAAAAAAGAGCATGAGGCAGAGGACAAAAAATTACAGCCCAGGCAGGGGTGGGGTGCGATAAGAAATGAACATAGGACTAGAAAGGACTTCCTGGGTGACACAGTGCAGGCCCTACTATTGCACACTCCATATCGGATCATCCACTTTACGAACTGACCAAGCTCCAGCTTAACATAGTTACCTTATTTGTCTCCTAGAGGCACTTTCAGATCTCACTTGCTCTGTGAATACGAAACATTCTGCTTATTTCCTGTCTAAAATTTGCCCATGCTCAACTTTCCTTGGATATTAACATAAGGCAGCGTTTGCCTTTCTACATATCCCTCTGTAAAACAGTGCAAGTTGTTTAAACCATCGCCTATCGAGCGTGGGTCCGGCTCTGCCCCTATTCCCCCAGCGCGGCCCCTCAGCAAGCTCTGCAGCACCGAACACCTCCGCACCTGCCCTATGGGATCCGGATTCCCGGGTCCGGGAGCACCGAGGAGGCCGGCGCAGCCCACGGCCCCCGAACGACCATTTCCACTCCTGCCCCACCGCGTCCGCGCACGGCGAATTTTGGCCGCTGCCCCCCGCCGGACTCCCGGGGGGGGGGGGCGGCGCGTTGTTTCCGGCGGGGGGGCCGGGGGGGAATCACAGCGATAGTGCAGTCAAGAGCCTGGGAGCCGCAGTGCCGTCTAACTACGATTAGGAAATTAGGGTTTCCTTGAAGGCAGCAGGAGCAGGGAAAGGCCCAGCACAAGCAGCTGGCACCACCAAAGGTTTTCCACGCAGGTCTGTGAAGCAGAAAGTATGAGAAGCCCCATCTTGGCAGTTGGCTTCCCTGCAAGGATCGCATAAGAGTTAATCCTCACCCGGATTGTGGGAGCTCTTTGCATGTTGCACTTGGCTATTCGGTGATCTTGTTTTTGCCATGCAAGAATCTTTTTTTTTTTTTCTATTGAAAAGAATTGATATTGCTTTATGTATTCTCTGTCCTCTCTACAGGAGTCTTCCGGTGCCTCGTCATCTGGGCTATACCCATCATACCCCAAAAATAGCTGTTAGGTGGAGACCAAAACCAAAACTGAGATACAGCCCTTCTCTCAGATAGACAGAGACCCAAGCAGCCTGAAGACTGTGCTCTGAAGAGGAGCAAAAAGGAAATATTTACTCTGCTGAGAAGTGTTTTTGCCATATAAAATATTAATATGAAAAAAAAAATATTCTGGTCTAGCTCAATCTCTTGCATAGAGCTGTTTTCCTAAACCAATACACATGCTTAACTGCTGTTTTTGAGGATTCTGACTTCTTGCAGTCCTGAATGTAATCCCAACCTCTGTGCTGGAGGGGAAAGGCTCCCTTTTCATATCTAAGCTACCTCCTGATACTGGATGCTGTGTTCATTTTGCCAGTCTGCTCTTTCTTCCAAAGGTTTCTTGAATATGTTTTCCTGTAGAAGACATAATATTGTTTGATGTCCTTTCCACCCCAGGGAGCTTCCCCTCAAAAAAATGCTATAATATAAGCAGATTCTCAAGACAGCAAATGGGGAATATGTGAGGATGGAATTGCACATAAATGAACCCTTCAGATTTGCTGGGTTTGGTAACTTATTTCCATTTGAAATAGAAAAGCTTCCCCTGGCTTTGCAAAACACCAAAGAAGCTCTCAGATCCTGAGATGAAAAATGGCTTTCCCTTCCCCAATCTAATCGCTTAGAAAATTTTTCATTTCAGGCACAGTGTTCTAGCGTTCTCCTTTTTAATGGACTGCATTCTGCTTGCTTGCCATTCCTTAGCTCTCCTGAATGTGATTTCTTTCCATTTAGACTGAAATACTGGCAGCTTTCTGATGTCACTGATCACTTTTTGATCCACACCATGTTGTCTACACACATTTGGAAAATGAAACACAAAAGGCATCAGAAAGGGAATCACAGAACACCAGTCTACCATAACCGATGTGAAATTGTTGCTGCCTGCTTTGCATATTTCCCCTCTTCCTGAACACGGACGGGCAAGGACAAGACAGTTTTTTCCATCCAGGGTTTTCCTCTCTTCATCTTTTGCAGCAGTCTTCCCAGGTGATCCTTATATACTCACCTCTCTACCTTTACCACCACCTTCCTAGGTGCTGCTTACATCTCAACAAGTGTTCCTTGTTAACCTCTCATGGTTGGCCTCAGAAAATCCTTTTATCCATCAAGCAAGGAGCATTATGACTTTCATTCCTGGCTAACCTTTTTTTCTTTTCCTTATTCCTACAATAGGGAGCCTTTAAAGTCTTCCCCTAGCTTTACATATGTTGTGCTTAAGTTTTTGTTCGTTTGTTTTGTTTTGTTGTTTTGCTGTTGTTAGCCATCAACAAAATAAAAAATGTAAAGATAAAGCTGAGTAGTGAGTACCACTTCTGCACTTGTGTGTCTTTTATTTTTAGGAGGATAGTTTTATGATATAAATATTTCTTATTGCTATGTTGATATTGTAAATGCTAGTTTTATTAATTTTATATTTTTGATGTTTTCTAACATAAAAGTTTGTTCAGAGGCTCAGGTTCTTCATTGCAGGTTACAGACAAAAGGCAAGTCCTAATTCCTTCGTTACTCCTTTTTTACTTTGTGCGTGTATATGTGTGCTCTTCCCCAAGGTGAGTGTAGACTAAGCAGAGTTAACAAATGATGGTGGTTTTGCCTTCTGCTGTTTTGTATGGTGCTGTGCCAATAGAACTTTTTTCTTTTTTTTCTTTTTTTTTTGGGGGGGTGGGTTCCCTATCCTGCTGGGCCCTACTTGTAGTTGCTTCTTATTCCCTAGTTATTGCCTCAAGGGGAGGCCGACAGAACCTTCTCCAGGCCTGGCCGAGGTGTACGGATAGTTGGGTCAAAACACGTATTCTTTCCAGGAATACGGTTAGTTGACAAAGTCATGGCATGTTGGCAGATGTTCATAATCAGCTCCTCAGTACCCCTAGATGAAATTTCTGCCCCCTTCCACTTTCCTTTCAAATGAATGGAGATGAATGAATGAACAGATGT